TCATGCCCGTTGCTGGTTGGCTAACTAGCAACGGGGTCTTACCAGCCAATGGAATTGTGTGATTACAAGCCAGGGGAATCCCATAAAAGAGGGCTCCCCTGGCCCAGATGCCAGTCCGGATTTACTTTATGCCTTGCCAATAAACCGAGAGCTGACTGTCACTCGACTCGTGTCTTACTGCCTGCGCGATCTAACAATTGGCTTCCCTTCATTATTTTTTTTCTCAAGGAAAGAAAACCCCAAAGGAAATCTCTCTCTATCTGTCCCCCCCCCTACCTCCCAAAGTATAATTATTTCCCAACTTCCCCATCATTCTGATAGAAAGATTAATTAAAGGCTGCAGAACTTATGCTAAATGAAAATTATTTCTTGGAAACATAATAAAAGGCTATCTCTGCTGCTGGGAGTAACATTCCTGGGTAATATTGTATCAATGCCAATCTTGTATAATTCCAACTTTCTGAGCATTACAGGAAAGAAATTCTTCAGTATGGAAGCAACTACTCCCATCGGCCTCTTACTTACTGTGACTTAATAATGGGAATATAACTGTAATGTATTGTGTTAAACTTATGGAAAAGCTGCAGAGGTCTGTGCAAGGACTGTTAGCAGACCACGTGGTCTGCTAGCCAGACTTGCTGTCTGCATGGTTGATTAGTATGCATTTGAGCGGGAGAATACGGTGCATTCATTGGCTGACGCCGCCCAAAGCTGAATGTATAAATAGGGGCGGAGCCAGGTTTGTTAGTTTCTGTTTTGTCTTCAATAAAGAAGTACCTGTTTAATACTCCTGCCTCTTCAATGCTGAACCCAGCAGAAAACAGAACATTGGCGACGAGGGTGGGATCGTGCTGCCGAAATTCGACGAGCTGAGTCACTACGGGGAAAGGCCTAGCAAGCGCCTTGGTGGAACGGCATTCCAAACCCCCACTCACTCTTTTCCTGCCAGTACAAAGACACTGGAGGAGACTGCTTCTATGGACAGCCCTGGAAGTCCCACGGAAGCCTGCGCAGCACGAGGCATTGAAAAGGCCGCCAAAGACTCACCATGGCGAAGATAGGTCGACTCTCAGAATTTGACGTCGCCCATCCAGAGAGGTGGAGCTCCTACGTCACGAGGGTTGAGAACTACCTCCAAGTCAACCAAGTTCGGGAAGACGGATTGAAGGCCACGACGCTGCTGTGTGTTTGCGGTCAAGCAACATTCGACAGCGCAGAGAACTTGGTTGCTCCAGCGCCGCTTGAGTCCATTGCATACGCACAACTGAAAAAAATGCTCAAGGAACATTTTGAGCCGAAGCTTTTGGTCATCGCTTGGCGACACGCCTTTGAACAGCGAGACCAGCGTCCCGGGGAGTCCGCTGCAGATTTCATAGCTGCTCTTCGCCAAGCTGCAAGGCCATGCGAATTCAAGGATCTTGAAGAACGGCTACGGGACCGTTTAGTTTGTGGTCTGAGGAGCCGAGAACTTCAACAAAAAATCTTTGCTAGAGAAACTGTCTCGTTTCAACACGCGTTGAGGGAGATAACGGCCGAAGAAGCAGCAGGCGGAGCTGTTAAGGCCTTGTGGCTCTCCAAGAACCCTCCTTGCTCGGACACAGTCCACCAAGAAGATGCCGAGAGGGTTGACGACTCCAAATCGGACCACAAAGTCGATCGGTTACAGCAACCTCCAGAAAGGATCTCCCTTCCTTCCGCCGCGCCCTCAAGACATGGTTATTTAAGTTGGCAGGACTGGCCTAAGGGTTATTTTTTAGCTGGGTTTTTATAATAATTTTTAAAATAACAAAGGCCTAATAATATTTCATCTTAATTAACATTTTAACTTTAGTATTTTTTGTATTTATGTATTTGTTTTTAAAAGGCTGTAAGCCGCCCTGAGTCCGCAGGGAGAAGGGCGGGGTAAAAATATAAATAATAAATAAATAAATAAATAAATGTCCCCCCTCATCCTTCTCTTCATTAAACTAGACATACCCATTCCAGCAACCATTCCTTATATACTTTAGCCTCCAGTCCCCTAATCATCTTTGTTGCTCTTCTCTGTACATTTTCTATAGAGTCTCAACATCTTTTTTACATTGTGGTGACCAAAACTGGATGCCATATTCCAAGTGTGGCCTTACCAAGGCATTGTAAAGTGGTATTAACACTTCACGTGATCTTGATTCTATCCCTCTGTTAATGCAGCCTAGCACTGTGTTGGCTTTTTTGGCAGCTGCAGCACATGGCTGGCTCATATTTAAATGATTGTCCACTAGGACTCCGAGGTCCCTCTCACAGTTACAGTTTTGTGTGTGTGTGTGTTGCATGTATTTGCAGGAACCTTGCATGTATTTCTTTATCTTTTTCTCTCATTGCTTCACAGACCATTCTAAATTTTGCTAAACCATCTGCTAAATGGCATTCTCAAAACTTCCAATGCAGATAGTCCTTCTGGTCACAACTGAACACAAAATTTCTGCTGCTAAGCAAGGCAGTTGCAAAGTGGGTTTTGTCCCATTTTATGATCTTTTTTTTTTTTTGCTACACTGGTTAAGTCAATCCCTGCAGTTGTTGAGTTAGTAACATGATTGTTAAGTGAATCTGGCTTCCTCATTGACTTGGCTTGTCAGAAGGTTGCAGAAGGCAGGTGGGACACTGGAACCGTCACAAATACATGCCAGTTGCCAAGCGTTTGAATTTTGATCACGTGACCACAGGGATGCAGCAATGGTATAGGGCAGTGATGGCGAACCTTTTAGAGACCGAGTGCCCCAAAACTGCCCCCATTCCTGCTCCACCCCCTGCCCCGCCCCTGCCCTGCCCCCTGCCCTGCCCCTGTCCCTGCCCCGCCTCCATTCCCCCGCCCCCATCCCCCACCCTGCCTGCCCACAGGACCACTCACTGCCTCCAGGGCCCACTGCAGATTGCCCAGGCAGCCCAGCAGTGCTATGGCAGTCACACCCTCTGCCTGCGCCCTGCAGCATCAACTGCACATGATGGGTTGTGAGGGCAGAGTCTTGTCTATGCTGCCTGGCTGCCATGTCCTTGGCTGCATTGCTCCATGTGAGCCATGCTAAGGGGTGACTCTCCTTCAGGGGGGCTTCTGGAGAGGAGGGGGTCGCAGGGGAGGCGAGGCTGGGGCAACGGCACGTGTGCCCACAGAGAGGGCTCCGAGTGCCGCCTCTGGCACCCGTGCCATAGGTTCGCCACCACTGGTATAGGGTTTCCTGCCTGAGCAGAGGGTTGGACTAGATGACCTCCAAGGTCCCTTCCAACTTTATTATTATTATTATTATTATTATTATTATTATTATTATTATTGTTGTTGTTGTTGTTGTTGTTGTTGTTGTTGTTAGTATGAAAAATGGCCATAAGTCACCTTTTTCAGTGCTGTTGGTAACTTTGAATGCTCACTAAACAAATGGTTGTAAGTCAGGGACTACCAGCATGTTCACTGCCTCCTTTTTCTCAATCGATGTAATGCTCAAATGTCTACAGTAACCACTAATATAACGTTTAATGTACGTTTATTAAATTTACTGCATTTATTATGGAAAATAGTACGTCTTTAGCACGGGATTAATACATTCGTGCTCTCTCTTTGCTCAAGCTCAACTAATGCAGAGATCTAATTCCAAGGTCTTGTACAGTCATGCAGACTTTGGACAAGGGTTAACTTGTTCACACCAACCACTTAACTAATGGAGGGAAGTAGGAGAAATGCCTTTGGCCTCCAACAGTTCAGGGCAAAGTTTATCGCCCAATCTATCACCATAAAAGCAGCCGTGTGCGTGTGGCACCTCCTATAATAAGCGATTATATTATTGCACACATTTTCATGGATTACAGTCTGTCTGACTCACAGCAGTGCAGAAATGACTACAGTACCTGTGGTCATTTTTAAGGTGGACCACAACGTTGTGTAGTTCTTTCAAGGCCACTCAGCCTATCAAAACCCTTCTGCTCTGTTGAAACATTTCTCAATGCAGCTTTGCTGGCTGAGGAATTCTGGGAGTTGAAGTCCACAAGTCTTAAAAGTTGCCAAGGTTGAGGACCCCTGTCTTAATGCACGCCATCCATAAGGGTAATGGAATATCCATTGGATTGCAAAGTTTAGATCAAAGGTGTCTGACTTTGGCAACTTTAAGACCTGTGGACGTCAACTCCCAGAATTCCCTAGCCAGCATATTGCTGACTGGGGAATTCTGGGAGTTGAAGTCTACACATCTTAAAGTTGCCAACGTTGGACACTCCTGATTTAGACCAACTTTCCCCAAATTTTGCAGGGAAAAACGGTAGGAAAAGATGACCAAAATCCAGTTAGGATGATAAAAGTAGGCAATAAGATCTGTATTTCTTCTATATTATTTTTAGCTGAGTTTTGAAATGAAACATTTTCACTGTTTACCAAAGGGGAAAACAGGATCGAGAGCACATTCGGAAGTAAAGACTCCTTCTTCCAGAAAATAAATTATGGTTTTCATCTGAGAGCATAATCCACAGGTGGAGTGGGAGTGGGCAGATTTCCTCCTAGTAGATCCTACTTGATGTGGGATCTGCTCTGTGGTCACATTCGCACCATGCTGTAGTTTGCATGGCTGAGTTGCCCAACACACTGAACCAATTTCAAAGTGTACAGCCAGATTAACAAATCACACTGTACACTATGTCCAGACTAAATAAACAGATCTTTGGTCAAAAAAAGCAGCCAACCTTTGTTCTTGTTTAACTTTGATAGTTACTGAAGGGAGGCAAATGCCTAAGAAAACGTGCCCTTCACTTCATTGCCAATTTCACCCAGAATCATATCTTAATCTGTCATGCAAAAGTCTTTCTTCTTTTTTTTTTTGAACAAGTTTTATTAGTTTTTTAGTTTTTACATCAAGGTGCTTGGGAAACAATGTGGTGATGGGGGAATCAATCATCCAAAAACAAAATCGTACATATATGGCTCAGGTTAATTCTTTAAAGATTCCCTCTCTATTTCTCTCAATTAATATAACATATTCAAATTAATACATTTCTAAATAAAGTTCAATCAATAATAAAAAAAAATCAATAACATTTCACCTATACCAGTGATGGCGAACCTTTTAGAGACCGAGTGCCCAAACTGCAACCCAAAACCCACTTATGCATCGTCGGGTGCCGGGTGGGTGTGGCCCATTGGCTGGGTGTGGCTCATTGGCTGGGTGTGGCCCATTGGCTGGGTGTGGCTGTGGTGGTAACGGCAGACTGGGTGGGACTAAAAAGTTCAATCAATCAATTCCAACTTTGCAAGATCTTTTTTTCCCCGCGAGAAGTTGAAATTGACTGATTGAACTTTTTTTTTTTTGCACACGGTGACGGAGGCCTAAAGCGAAAAGGTTTTATAAAACCCAGCTGAAGGCCTAGGACTGGGGCGACGGCACGCGTGCCCACAGAGAGGGCTCTGAGTGCCGCCTCTGGCACCCGTGTCATAGGTTCGCCACCATTGACCTATACAAATCCAAATCCTGTTTTTAAGCTTTACTAACTTACAATTACCATAATCCAATTTGGCCTTAAATAAACATATTATTTACACTTCGGATATCCCTAAATTCCCTTGTTTCATAACATAATAGTTATGTCTAAAATAAACATATTACTCCAATAGTTACTTTCTTACATTTCCCAAATATATTCTATTTCTTATTCTAATAACTCATTTATTAATGCCATGTCTTCCTTTATCACAATCCATTTTCTTGTTCTCCTTCCATTGCAAAGTGATTATCATACCTAAAATAAAAATATTACTCCAAAAAAAATACATTCTTACTCTATTTCAGATATATATTCTATAAATCAATCCATATCTCTAAAAATGCAAAAGTCTTTTTTATGGTTTCTGGCCTCAGCATGCTTTCATCTCAGCGACCTGTTTTAATCCTCAGGAAGGACAGAGCCCAGAGTTTCTCATATCTCCTTTCCTCCCCTGCTTTAATTATGCAGGATGCAGACACACAAATCCTAAACCCGTGGTGACGAACCTATGGCACGGGTGCCACAGGTGGCACG